GAGGAGGAGGAGGAGGAGGAGGAGGAGGAAGAGGAGAAGTTGGAGGAGGAGGAGTTGGAGGAGGAGGAGGAAGAGGAGGGGGATGAGGAGGACATGAAAGGAAAAATAGAGATTTCTGTTCACCCTTTGCTGATGGATGCGTGATCAGCGTGAGCCTCCCTGATGTACGTGTTCAGACAGTAGGGTGTTCTGTCGTCGCAGTGGACGATCTGGCTCGGTATTGTGAAGCTACACATCAGCCCGGAGCAACTGTAGCATTGAACTGAAGAAGGGGAAAACATGAGACATCGTGGTGAAATCAGGCGTTCGTCAAATTGATAAAATCAAATAAATCAGCATTTTTATTACCTTTGGGCAATATTTTTTTCAATGTTTTTTTTTTTTCTGGCTCAACACTTTTTATACCAATTTAGAAATAAACTTATGTGTGGAGTTTACTGAAATATGTTGATCAGATCAAAGGCATAAAAAACCTGTAAATTTGCAATTTTCAAGGACTCCCAAGCTTTGCCGGTTGCCAAACTTTGGCAGCCATTTTCTCGTTGATTTCACTTCTGAATCTAGGTGACCCCCACCTCCTTCAATTGCAAATATCTCGATTTTTTTTCTCAGTATAGGTGGGTAATGTTTTCACCAAAAGCAAGACAAACGAACAAGCTTTAAGATTATATCAATAACTCCACATGCCAAATTGACGAGCGCCTGGCTTTACCATGTCGGGAAAAAAATGGTGAACTGCTATAGGTTTAACGCCCTTATCAACACTGTTAGGTTATTTAAGAGGCGGGACTTCCGAAATTAACATCCATCTCAGAAAGGACTGATCTAAATGGGAAATATGTGCACAATGTCTGCTTTCTCAAGGACACAACGTCAGACCGAGCTGTGGCTCGAACACACGAACACGCAATCTCACGATTATGGGTCCGGTAGCCTAACCACTAGATCCAGGCCACCGACGCCACCCGACGGAGGGAGAGATGGAGAGAATGATATTATAGAGGAGAGGGGTGTGGGAGAGGGAG